CAGTTTGTGCTGGAATAAATTCACTCTCACAGTCATATGCATAGCCACCTATGCAGTGTCTACAATTTTCCCACTATTAGGCCTAAACCTGCTCAGCAGAAACTGATACTCAAAAAAACCCAACCAACCAAACAAAAAAAAAAACAACAAAAAACCAATCACCACCACCACTTGGGCATGACTGCTGAATCCTCCCTTGTCCCAAGAGATCTCTCATTACACTCACTTTTGGGTGACGCTGTAGGAATCTAGCTGCCTCCTCAAAGTACTCGAGTTTGAGTTCTTTCATGACCTTAGGAAGATCTTCAAAGTCAAAATATGGCAGAGAAAGAGCAGCAAAACCACGGGTAGCCAGGAGACTGGATCTAAGTTCAATCAAGCCTCCTTCATCACCATACATGTCAATCACTCCTGGAAAGGGGCCATCCCCTATATTAAAAAGAAGTGGTATAGAGGACAAGTTAACAAACAGGACACTAAAAACTATCTGGTGAAGAGTGAACAACAAAATATAGAATGCTTAAGACATTTGCTATTAATGCTCATTACTTTTCCATTTGCGCAGTAGAGATTAAGAGAACCAGCGCTGTATCCCATTTCAGCTATTTCAAACTAAGAATAGGTCTTTAAAGTCCTGCAAAAATATCTGAAGTTAGACTTTTTTTTTCCTTTAAAAAAATCAAAAACAACTGTTCTAAATGTATTTTTCAATGGTCTTAACCTCTCGCCTTCAGAACAATCATACCCTAAGTCTGCTATTTTCCCCACAAATATGTCATATCTTAATTAACAAAGTGCAAGCTCATAAGTAATGAGCAAAGAGCACTAATCCCTCAAAGTCAATTCTACAAAACTTACGTAAACTCTGGAATAAACTGCACTGAGCAAAGCACAGCAAAGAGACACCAATTGCTAAACAAAATCAACCAACTTAACTAGCTCTATCTCAACATCAGCACTGTAACACTTGGTAGGAGAACTGCTACTGCAGATGTGACCAGACGGAGGGTAAAACTGAGAGCTGTTATGGGTGTGGTTACACGCGCATGACTGATATACAGATAAATGTGCACATACATGTGTACAATTTGTCCCGCAAAACTACAGAAATAATCAGAACTGCAATTTTAAACAGCCATGTGTTTGCAGCCAAGGTTGTGTTGTACCATGTTGGTATGCCAAGCCAGCAGATCTTGGGTTAAAAGGCTAAGGATACTACCTCGTGGAGTTATAAAGACCCCAAGCAAGCAATTTCTTTTTTTCTTTTTTTTTTTTCCCTGGCCACAAGACATCACCTCTGATGTACCTGGATCCAGCTCACTACAACCATCTCACAAAAAGGACCCACTTGTGCAAGAGAGTGCTAACTCTCTGACATTACCTGTATGCACTAAAGAAAAGATCTCTGACTTCAACACACTTGAGAAAAGGAAGTTTTGGACAAGACATGCTAGATGGTGGAAACCTCCTAAATTAAAGCGTTATGAAGTCAGAAAGGGACTGAACCATGCTTTTGTGTTCTCTCTCTTTCAGTTCTGATCTTTTTTTCATAGAAGTTCAATATTCTTGAGAGAAAATATGTTGGGATAAATTTATCATGCCATGATCAACAGGAACTTTCGGTTAACAGCAGTCAGCCTACATGGCTGGAAAATACGTAATTTATTTATCACCCCTACCCAGAAAGCTTTCTAGCAAGAACACGTAATCAGAACACAGTCAAGCATGACTGTTTCTCTCATGAAGAGAAACTTAAACTTATACAAGGATCCTGGACTGCCTCCCTGAGTGCCTACACATGCCCAAGTATAGTTTCTGCATAGCTCACTGAAAAGCAGGATAAAACACGATAGACAAATTTACTACTGTTTAAAAACAAAGAAACAAAACCCCACACCTTAACTCTTATGCGCAAATCTAGAAATTTTTCATATCAAAACTACAGCATAAGCCCACTCACATCATTTCACTTTTACTAAGAATGGTTCACATTTAAGATTCCTATCTTAACAGTATTAACATTTTTTTGTCCCTGGAGCAAAGGAGGGTATAGTAGTAATGCTGTAACTGGATCCTCCATCACGAGGGATGCCAATATCATTTAAGCAATAATTCCAGACTTTTCCACACTATTACAATGCCAAACTTCCTAAAGGGGAAAACACAGTTCTATCTTGCAGATCTCTGGATTTCCACTGAGCTCAGCAGAAATCAAACTCATTCTCTAAGGCAGGATAGCAAAACAATCATGTCTCAGAGATGGAAAATCCAGCATGCTGACTAAACATCTGAAATTCAAAGTTCAATCTCTGCTGTTGTTTTTTTCTTCAGTGAACTTTGGATCCACATCTAAATAGATAAAAAAAATATTGGTTTGGAAATTCACTGAAAATACTTAAATACCTAATACTGTAGGGATACTTACAGGAGCTGCTGAACCAAGTAGATTTAAATTAGAGGTAATGTGGAGTGCAGTTCCTGTAGCACAACAGTCAGGGAACTACAAGAAGTTTAGATCATGGCTAAAGCATACAAACGACATCACTGGTGTAAAGTTTTGTTTTCCAATACCACTAGGAGCCCATCAGAATATCACACCTCATAAAGCACAACCATCCCACAAGCAGAACAGGCAGAACTTGCTGATAAATCTATTCTGCCTGTTTACCACAAAGTAACCCAATTACTAACTCAGCGTTGGCTCCGATGTAACAGAGGGGGAATAAGTGTATTTTCTAGAAGCTCTTCTGTTGCTTTGCTTACTGGCATGTGTTTCACATGGAAGAAAAATGCCTCTGATTGGGACATTCAGCACAGTCTCATACAATGAAACGCATCAGCTTTTCTGAATGTTACATATTCTGGTAGACCAGAACAAACATCCAACCTACTGAAAAACCGCAGGCAGAGCGCAGCGATGTAAACTCTAGAACCCCTGTTCTCCTTCAGTTCCTTCCCGTCCCGCAAGAGCCGCCTGCCCCGTGCCGCCGAGAAGGACCAGGACACGCACAAGCCGGGCCTTGTCCCGACAAGCACTCGGGAGAATCTCCGTAAGGTTTCGGGGAAAAAAACCGGCCACCTGTCTGCAGGAGGGCGTTCGGCTCATTGACGGAATACGGATTCCGCGGGTGGCAGATGTATGTTTCTGTTCTGCGAGACTTTCCCTGCTCCGGTCAGAGAAACCAGGGGGTTCCGCCAGCCCCGGAGCGAAGGCCTCCGGCCGGGACACTCACCCGGCGGCAGAAAGAGGGAGCCCCTTACGACTCCTTCCTTCAGCCGGATCCTTCGCACGCCGGGGGCCATGAACCACCTCTCCACCTCGGTCTTGGCCACCACGGGCCCGGGCATGGCGCCGGGCGGGCTGTGGCCCTGGTGGACCAACACCTCCACCTTCATCGGGGCGTCGGTGCTGCGGGGAACGAGGCGCTGGTACGGCCGCTCCATGGCGGCGGGGGCGAGGCTCCAGAAGAGCCCCATGGGCTCCACGCCGGTGTAGTCCCCGCCGTGGGAGGCGTCCGTGCCCAGGTGCAGCTCCCCGCGGCTGTCCGCTCGATAGTGCGCGCACGACTGGAAGAGGCAGCCGCGGTCACCGGCCGCCAGAGCCCGCAGAGTCACCGGCTGCCCCGGGCTCAGCCCTGCCACCCGCGTCTCCACCTGCTCGTCGGCCGGGCCGGCGGCGGGGGACACGGCCAGGCTGGCCGCCCGCCGGGACGGCCGGGCGCGCAGCAGGGCCCGCGCCGGGGCGGCGGGAGCGGCGGAGAGCGCTCTCCACATGGCGGCGGCAGCAGCTGCGCGGAGCCGTCGCGCCGCCCGCAATATCAGTACCGCAGCCGCCGCCCCCTCCAGGAGGCCCCAATCGAGAGAAGAGCCCCTCCCCGCCGCCGGGAAAGGCGGACAGCCCCGGGTTGCTCCCACCTCTCCCAAACCATCCAAGCGACTGGAGCAGCGAAGCCGGGAAGGGTCGCCAGCCGCGGGCCGCTCCCGCCTCCCCCAAGCCGTCCAACCGACTAGGGCAGCGGCTAAAGTTTCACTTTAAGCTATTACAAACACAGGGAATGCAAAAGCCCGCCTGACGCACGGGGAGGAGCCGAGGCTGGATGCGGCCCGCGCGCGCTGTCAGGCACTAGGGGGTGCAAAGTGTTTGGATACACCAGCGCAAACTCGCCGGCAACATCCAGCGCCTTCTCCTCCAACCCTGGCTGGGTGCCGAACGTTACCGAGGATCCCCGGCTGGGCTAACAGCTCACCCCGCTGCCCCCGCTGCTCAGAGAGAACCAGACATGCAGCCGGAGCCCGGCTCCGGCACAGCACGGCAGCCGCCCCACCGCCCCTTCCAGCCTGCCTACCCCCGCACAGCACCCGGCGCCTCATGGAGCCGCCGAGCCAGCCCCGCAGCCGGACTGCTTCCCGTAACTTCTGGAAGCAGGCGCTAAGGGATTGTACAGGCAGGGAGACGCTACCCTCCAACAGCGCTGCGGACCTAGACCGGATACCCAGGCCAGCTGAGGAGACGCCCGAGAGCGGCTCCAGGATGACTACCAACAGGGCCGGGTCTTTTGTTTTCTTATGCTTACAGACGTTCAAAAACTGTTAAAATGTCTCATTTCTGCTACATGTGCCCAGAATGTCACATCAGGCTAGGGGCTGTTGTTGCCTACGAACGGGAGATTTGCTACCTGAGGAGCAGGCACATTATTGCTGCTTTTGCTAAGTGAAATATTAGATATTGTAAAGGCATTTTAGTGGTGTGAGAGAAGGGGAATGAGCAACAAAGGACGGGGACGTGCATAGGGAGAACAGAAAGAATACTGGAGGCAGGAAGAGAGAACTGCTGCTTCCAGAAAAACTAGAACACTGGAATGAGCGCACAAAGCTGCCTCTGGTAAAGGCAATGGCATATGTTTCCTCTGAGAACGCCAAGGTATATTTTCACCCCAGTTCTCAGCTTGGATAAGTTACCTTCCACTTAAATTCACATTCAAAGAACACCCAGCCTTACCACATTTGTCTTCCACAGCTTTTAATCCTATACTACACAAAGCAGGAGGCCAAGAACCTCTAACCAAGGTTAGAGGAGGGTGTAGAAACCAAGCAGCTTTCATGCTTTCACCTGCTGTCATCCTCCAAGAAACCCAATAGCTTATTCTCTGATGTTCCTTGTTCTCATTCTGAGCCATTTAACAAAGCAATCTTGAAACACCAGCATCTTCATCTGTAACGTAATCTACTTCACATCACAGATTACTGGATGTTCCAGATGGCTTGCCTGTGAGGTGTTTCCAGAAGAAAGCTTGGATCTGCTGCCAAGCATCTATCTGTGCCTCACAGTGTGCCTTGGGCTCCCCTCCCCACTCCACAGGTTTGCCAACTAGCAGATGCATTGAGGCTGCGCACATTGGGAAAAAGGGAGGTTCAATGTAGTGCCCTGCTCCAGGATAACAGACTATCTCAGGCTTTTCCTTCCCATGAGCTTGCAAACGTTTGCTCCCCTCAACTGCAAAGAATTCGCTTTTCCAGTTGCGATCATCCTGGCCAACAATGAACAAGAAGCGACACTCGGCCTTCTCCAAAGGGATGAAGCTTTGCTGGTCAGGCCCTTCTAGTGGGTTGTTCAATATATCAAAAATATCAGCAATCCCGGACTTGCTGACCTTGATGCGTTTCAAATTGATATTAAGAGGTGGAATGGTGATGTCCTTGTAGCGGAGCACTGCACCCACATTTGCCACTGAGCCGTTGATAAGGGCAGTGGCTGTGATGCCCTTTAGGAAGGAGGCCATGGAGGTGCACAGGTCACCACCCTTTGAGATTCCAAGCAACCCAATTCCTGGACCTTTAACCTGAAGGTGAGAGAAGAGAAACCACAAGGAATGAACCAAAGCGTGCCACTTCTTTAAGATGTTGCCACATTTGCAGCCGTGTCTGTCCCAAATTTGGACCCCAAGTACAGGCATATAAGGTCCTGTTTGCAGAGCCCACATCTGAGGGACCCTGGGCACTGTTCTGTGCTTGATTTATGGTCCTAAGCCCTACTGGGACTGCAGCATCATCACCTAACAAAGCTACAGGGTTCAGTGCTGAAGCAGAGAATACAGCTGTGTTTGCAGATGTGCAGTCCCAAATTCCCTTTGCCTATAAGGCAGTTGAGGGAAGGAGAAGGGGAGGCTTCTTCTACAAATGCTTTCTTTCAGTGCAAAATGCTCAAAGTCAGCAATGACTATGATATTGTCATCACTTATGATAATGTATTTCTTATACTCAACCACTGTCTTTGGTTTCCCTATTAAGAAGATAACATGGAGTGGCAGGCTCCACATCAGCAGCTCTCCCGCTTCTCCGGTATGCTTGGTGTCTAACTCACAGGAAGCATTCTGAGGTACCTTACTCATTAAAATGCATCTTAAAGAAATAACCTATTAAACCCATTTTTCTAAGAGAATTGTACAGTCCTCTGGAGTCAATCTAGAATAGGTTACCTTCATTTTCTTTTACACAAGGCAAATTAACTAGAATAGAAAAATTAAATGACCTTACAAGGTATTGAAAGCCTCCAAGGATATTGGAAGAAGGTTAGCTAATACCACAACTGCTTCAAAATCCAAAGACCCTTAGGAGCAAAAAGGCTCTGAGACAGCATCAAAATTTAGTATCTTTCGTATCTTATCACCAGTGTTATAGGCTCTAAACCCACTGACTTTGAAACATGGAAAGGGAGAGATTAGAAAATACAGCTGAAACTTTGCAACGCATTAAAAACATGATGAGGGTATGAGTGGAGGTGTTAATGGGAGGCAATGGTACTGCTCTCAGGGAAAAAAAAAAAGGCAAGTGGAAGCAATTTTCAGATTTTTTTGGGCAGAGAGGTGGCACGAGCAGTTAAGGTTAAGGCTTCTGAAAAGCAACCAAGACATGTACTCATCTTTCTGAGGTTGAGGAAGGTATTTGTTTTCATTCTCCAGAGAAACCAAGTATTGCCTTGTACAGTTCTAGCTATTGTCATGCACAGCTGCTTGCAAGGAGATGCAGATCCAAGCAGATTCTCTTTCAAGAGGTGTTGACTTAGAAGGATCCCTAAGTGCACAACTAGCTACTAAAACCCACACTCACCAAATAACAACATTTAGAGTGATTCTAACAGCGTATAAAATACACAGCAACAAATGTGTACTGGTGGACTTCCTTGAGACTTGTATCACAGAAGGTTATCGTGTGCTCCACAGCTGAAAAGGACATTAAGATCTGCAGGACATTCTACAGAGCATAAACCTAAAAGCCCTGCTGGAAGTCAAATAAGCCTCCAGGCAACTAGCACCCTAGTTATGACACTGGGCTGAATGGAGTAGAAATTACCAGTATGTTACTTATGTGTCACTGTTTCTCCTGGCCACTTCAAAAGGAAGAATTGGAATAAGCTGCCAGAGAGCCATTGTAATGGGAATTAAAGATATAAAACAAATTAATCACAGCCAACTTAACAGTGATGCTATTTTAAATACAGCAGCTCTGCCCCATCTGCAGTCTGACAGGACCTAAATAATGAGAGTTCACTGTAGTGAGTCAATGAACAAACCAACCTGGGTGCGTTGTAACATATAGTTTACAGCTTCTTCAAAATATTCCAGGTGGAATTCCTTCATCTCTTTGGGGAGATCTTCATAGCCGTAGTAAGCCAGAGCCAGCACAGCAAAGCCATAGTTGGCCAGCAGGCATGCCCTGTATTCAGGGAGTCCTCCTCCAGTTCCATATAAGTCAATAATTCCCGGAAAGGGGCCATTTCCTGCGAGAGACCATATAACAGGACACATTAACCCACAATTCTTAAGTTATATGCCAATATCATAGGCCTAGGAATGTGTCTTTTTAAAAAAAGAAAAAAACCTAAAGCAGCAGAATGGCGTTAAGGGTCCTAAACTACTGTGCCAGTTTTAATTAAATGGCTACATTGCTTCAATATTAAACAAGTCAGCAAAAATTAGCAGGCCTGGTAATGTTCTGGATAACATCAGGGAACATGTGGCTGGAAGAGAATTGATCTTTTGACAGTCACAACTAGTTTCTGTATGATGTAAATTCGCTGCAAAGGTATCAAGCTCTGCTTCAATTATACCCAGGAGGCTTTTCCTTGCTGCATTTCTCAGTATCCAAAAAAAATCTCCTCTTCTGATGATTTCAGCTTCTCAGTTTCAGTGTAAATGTACTATGGCCATTTATTCTGGGATTAAGAGAAGAAAAGTATCTGAAACTAACCTTGCTAACCTGGTAAGAGAAGCTTTACATTAGGTGCATCAGGGGACAAGTCCAAAGCTGAGAGGGATTGCTGCAAACTGCTAACAAAGTATGGAAAGGAGGAGGCCAAGAGGGAGGCTCCCATTCCTGCTCAGGAGGGAAGGCGAGGCTTCCCTCAGGTGTCTGCAGACTAACATGGAGAACATGGGCAACAAGCAAGAAGAACTGGAAATTCACCTCCAGCCTCAAGGCTACAGCTGAGTCAGAGCCCAGGACACTGGCTGGGACGTGCTGTATGATTTTAGCGCTATCATGGAGGAGTTGGCAGGGACAGACAGGGAAGAAAGGGAAAAGCACATGATACATAGAGGAGCTCTTTGAGTACATGGGGTTCCAGAGACATGCTTGGTGAAAGCCTTTGGATCACAGGGGGAAGGAAAGATGGGGTGTGGCAGTGGTGCAGCTACTGCAAACCACTCAACCAAGGGAATGAGGTTTCCTACAGCCAACTAGCAGAAATCTGGACAGCTGCTGGGAGGACAACACAGCATTTGTCAGGCAATCTGAAAACCTCACAGACCATCGTAATGATTACTTTCTGACAAAAATACTGTAAGAGCAAACCTGTCTAATGCTTTCCTTAATCTTCTGCTCACAAACAAGGAAGAATTGGGGACAAATGTGGCAGCAAAAGACAGCTTGGATTGCCTTGAGCTTCAGCAACTAGGATATAACTAAGTTCAGGATCTGTGGAGAGGCTGGAAAGGGAAGCAGCAGGCTTAAACTCTATAGTTTGGGAGAGCAACCGTCTACTTACTCAAAGAATTACTAGCTGAATTCCCTGGGAAACAGCCAGGTAGAGGAAAGGTATCTTGAAGACTGGCTGACACCACCTCCCACAGCATTTGGGAACAAGAAGGGTATTGTGATAAATGCCTTCATGTCCAGTAAGAATCAATTAAATAAACTCACGTGTGCTTCAGCACATATAGCTGCTCTCCGTAATGAGTGTGCCCAGCAGACCAAAGAGGGTTGGGCTGATCAGACCGCTCCTTGAGAAGTGTCCAGTGCCAGCTGGCAGGGCGAGGCTTCGGAAGCCTGGAAGGGGTCACGCTCCGGGCCTGGAAGCGCGGGGCCGAAAGCAGAGCAACACCAGTGGGAGAAGGAGCCCGGCACGGCCGGTACTCACCGGGGGGCAGAAAAAGCGTCGCCCGGATCCTCCCCTCTCGCACCGGGACTCTCCGCACCCCGTCCCGCAGGAACGCCCGCTCGTGCTGCGCCTGGGCCAGGAGGCGCCCTGGAGGCTTCCCGTGGCCCTCAAACACCTCCAGCTGCAGGAGGAAGGGGCTCTGAACGTCCCGCTTCACCAGCCGCCAGAAGGGCCTCTGGGGCTGCAAAGCCCAGAGCAGCCCCATGGGCTCCAGGCCGGAGAAGCTGCCTCCCGGCAGGGCAGGGCAGCGGGCTAGGTCCAGCTCCCCGTCGTCCCCCGCCTGGTAGCGGGCACTGGCCTGGAAGAGCTCTCCCTTCTCGTCCCGCAAGGATGTCCTCAGTGTGACCTGCTGCCGCGGGCCGAGGCCCTGCACAGCGATGGCCAGCGGCTCATCGAAGAGGCTGCGGGTGGCGGGCGAGAGGCGGATGGAGGGGGCCATGGAGGCGAGTCCACGGGCAGAGGCTGTCCCGGGGGTCCACGCGGGGCTGCGGCACCGTGAGGCTGCAGGCGCGGGGCCGGGCCAGGACAGTCGCCTCTGCCAGCTACGGGAGCTGGCCCGGCGCAGGGAGCGGGCAGTGATCTGCCACATTGCCCCGGGTAGTTCCCGCCTCTGGGGGCGGATTCTGGGGGAGGTCCCCGCGGAACCGGAGTCGGGGTCGATCCCGGAGTGCCGCTATAAGACCCTGCGGGAAGGAGCGGAGCGGTAGGTCCCTCGCCCCGCCGGCCTGCTTCCCTGCTGCCCTGCCTGCCTACTCTTCGCCTCTCCTCTGTCTTCGACCCTGCCCTTCCGGCTATGGGAGGGTTCTCTGTCAAACTCTACCGAGTTCTTGAGACCTGTCCTGGCCCCAGAGCTTCTCAGTGTCCTCCCGAGCTTCCCCGGACCGGGCGGGGGCAGGACGGGCAGAGGTGTTGACGAGCCACCGAGCAGAATCGCAGTCGGGATTCACTGTCCGGGCAGCGAAGGGCCTGTGTGGGACCGACCGCACAGAGATGGGGCAGCGCGGAGCTGTTGCCCGCCGGCGGCGACTCCGAGTAGGGCCGAACTGTGCTGTGCCGCTCAGCCGAGAGACCGGAGCGTGGGCCAGCCCCAGCAGGGGCGGGGAGAAACCACACCAGCACCAGCCCGGCAGTGCTTCGCCTCTCCTTGCCGGTTCTGCCTCTGTATTGGGTGCCCCAAGGCATGGGCAAGGTGGCTTATGTCTCCACCAGGCTCTGCTCAGCCCTGGCAGCTGCACAGCCAGGTGAATTGGGAAGGATGGTTAGGATCGTCAGTGGTGCAGGAGGGATGAGGAGGGAGTGATTTCACAGACTCTTTAGGTAGGTCAGGAAATATCTGGCTCTTCTAGTAATGGATTTTGCAAGGTTTTGAAAAAGAAGGCCATTCAGTCCATCTTGCCCCGAGCTGGATTTTCTGATCCAAAAGGAGCTGCAGAGGGACAGCTGTTTCCTAAGGCTCCCAGACTCTTCCTGGAGATGCAGGTAGGAGTGCCTCACACTCTGAACTCCTTATGTCTGACTTAGTGATGTGAAACAAGTGGAAGCATCTGAGGGAATCCTGAGCATTGTCCTGTTTGGAAATACTAAGTGGTCAGAGGTGTTGGACAGAGTCTCAGCAGTCTTTCCTTCCCTGTGGAGATTACCCATTCTCTCCTAAACAGATGAGGTGCTTTGTCATCTGGCATTTGGGCATGTTGTCTGGTGTCTAGCCCTCAATGTGTGGTAACTACTCCTGTTGTTGAGAAGAACAATCCTTACAGTACTGGATTTGATCACCAGCTTAACCATAGGCTGGAGCAGATGCTAAGGGAAAAGGTCCTGGAGGCTTCAGCAACATTCCTTCTCCTCTATGCTTGGTGACACAAGAGGAGTGGAAGAGTGAAGGTAAGAGAGCTATCTTCTATGGTGCCCTGTTCCTACCTGGGCAGCCCTTGATCCCAAGCTTCTGCAATCCCAAGGTTTCACCCTGGGATGAGAGACTGGTCAAGTTGCAAACCCTGCTTCTAACCAAAACAGAACAAATGACTCCATGGCTTTCAAATCTCAGTCCTTTATTACAATTCTCAACCCAATAACAAAGATTAAAATGTTACACATCATGTGGGAGAAGATCACAATGACTGTAAATTCAGCAGGAAGTTTTTTACATTACATCTTGGACCCAGAAGTATCCACTAGCCAGAACACAGCATTGTGAAGGGAAGATGGAAAGAAGGCACAGAAGGCAAACGACCTTCCCCAAGGGTAAACTAGAAACAGTCCAGCAACCTGGCTATAGCATCCATTTTTGCATACTCCCAGCAGCACAGAGATCAGAGACATTTCCATTTGCAATGAGACATTCACCATAACAACAGTGAAATCCCTGCTCCAAAACTGTCATTTGGGAGGTGTTGCTTTCAAGTATGAGTGTGTACATGTAGAGATCACAGTGATATGGAAAGTACTGTCAAGAATGCATTAGGAGAATAGAACCTCCCCAAGAAACATAACAGCGCATTTGGCACATGAGGTGTTTTATAAAAGACAAAAAATGCCATGCATTTTCTTGACACTTGAACAAAAAGGTTCAGGGAAGAAGAGAAAAGGCAAACCCATTTCTTTTCTGAGTTATGGATGTGTAAAGTCATGGAAGATACTGTCATTGTACAGCTGAGACAAGCTGTTAGATTGATAACTGTAACGGAATTTATCAGATCTAGTTATTCAAAGTTGTGTGTTGCTTGCACATCACTTGTTGCACATTACTTGTCATTTAAATATTTCTGGAAAAAAGCCTGGATCTGTGGCCAAGCATGAACCTGAGCTTTAGAATAAGCCCTGAACTCCTCACCCAGGACTGCCCACTTGTGAAAAATGGGATAGTTTCCTATGGGGTACAAAGGGAAAAAGGTAGGGTCTATGCAGTGCCCTGTTCCAGGGTAGGAGAGAATCTGAAAATTTTCCTTCCCTTGAGCCTGGAAAAGCTTGCAGACTTCAGTAGCATAATACTTTCTTTTGACAACATGGTCATCTTCTCCCGTGATGAATAGTAACTGTGCCTCAGCTTTCTCTATTGGGATCAGGCTTCAGTTGCCAGGGGTTTGAAAGGGGTCAATAAGGACATCAGAACAATCAAGAATATTGGAATTGGTGACCTTGATATGTTGTTCATATGTGGTCAAAATGGGGATGGTTTTATCCTTGTAACAGAGAGGAATAAATGTAGCAGCCACAGGGCCATTGAGGGAAGCAATGGCTGTGATGTTCTTCAGGAAGGCAGCCATGGCGAGACAGTTCACCTCCTTTGGAGTAACCAAGCAGGCCAATCCCTGGACCCTTCACCTGGCACATGGGAGGAAATGCTCATCAGTACTGAGCTGAAAAGCGTGACAGCTGGTTCATGGAGGGGAACATCATCTAAAGCTGAGAATTTGCAAACTGCATGAAGAAAGTGATGGCAATTATTAGTTTTTCTTCTGGACAAATAACAGGAACCTCCTATGCACAAATTGTTTCCATTCCCATGCAAAATGTTCCTTGATGATAGCCAAGAGAGAGCAAGCATAATGATACCATTTGAGTGCTGGTTGCAAAACAAAAGTAAGGCTATCCAGAGCTATGGTGGAAAGGTTTTGGTAGTGGGAAGCTGTGGTCTCTGTGAGAAGAGACCAGGGCTTCCCCCATATTGGACAGGGGCAGTTTCAGCCAGCTCAGAGACGGACCTGATGCTGCCCGAAGATGGGGGGGAGATGTTTTTAGTTTTGTTCTTATTTCTCACTGTGCTACTCTGTTATTAACTGGCAATAAATTAAATTAATCTTCTCTAAGTCAAGTCTGTTTTGCCCATGGTGTTAGTTGATGAATTACACCCCGTCCTTATCTTGACCCATGAGGTTTTTCATCTTAGTTTCTTCACCTCTCCTGTTCCTAAAGGGGATTGAGAGAGTGGCTAGGTGGGTATCTAGCAGCCAGCCGAGGTCAGCTTACCACAGTTAGCTACTGGTAAAGGCTTTTTTCTTTACCCTTCTTAGACTAAGGGGTCATATGGTGGCATGTAATGACAATTCATGAAGGCTGCTTCGAAAAATGCATGTTTCTCTTCTCCACTTCCGCCCACCTTGTTATGTCTCAGACACCATCTCTGTCACTCCAGATGATGGTAGCAGAATAGTACCCCATCCTCTGCCCTTCCAGTGCATATCTGTTTGATCCTTCCCCTTTCCTAGGCGAGCATTCTGGTAGATGCTAGCCATGCCAGGTGAGTATTTGTACAGCTTTCCCCAGAGATAACTCTGGCAGAGTGACAGGCACATCAAACGGCTGCAGGCAGCAGGCGAGAGGCATATGGAAGGGGCCAGGGATGATAAGTGAGTGATGTGGAAATGCAGGATAGGAGAAACCTTGTCTGCCATGACCACAACCATGCTCAGCGAAGAAGGCTGGGAGCAATTTTGCAGCTTCTGTGATCCACTCAGCTGCATCATGACTGTATTTAAGCTGGATGTTCTGGCTTCCTGTGCCTGGGCAGCCAGACATGGAGTGCTGCCTCCTCCTCCTGCCCAGGTGGGACGGCCGGCTTCGCTCCCCACTTTCTGTGCCCCGTGTGGTTATTGTGAAGACAATGGTCCTTGTATCCTTCAAAAAGATGTTTTACCAATGCCCCGAGGGGCTGATTACAAAAGCAAATAAAACCCAGCTCTCTCACAGCTCTCCTGTCCTGCACAGGTCCTCTTGGAAAAGTTGCTGGATGTGCTCCCTGTACCTTCGTTTGTGTTTCTGCACTGTTTGGAACCATGTGAGGGAACTCTCAGCATGGTCCTTGCCTTGCCTTACAGCATGCAGAACATTCCCCTCCAATAGCCATGGTGTAGCCTCTGGAGGACACAACACTGCCCTGTGCCTTTGATGCTTGTGCTGTGCTGTGCTGCACTGTCCTTACAATGTGGCCTTCAGGCCTGTGTTGTGCTGCACAGATTCCAAGCCTTATGGGAAACTCAGCCATCTCTTCCTTACACAGTGTGCTGGTTTAAAAGTTAACCAGCAAGGGAAAATGAACTCAATTCAAAAGAGAGATTTACAAGTCAGAATAACAATTTATTAAAATAATACAATAAGTACAATTATACAGACAGACAATTGGTTTTAACCCACAAAACCCAAATGTATACCCAGCACCCTAGGGTATGAACAAGAGTGGTGTACCTTGGCCCACCCCCGAGTCCAAAGCAAAAGGAGAGGGGATAAACCTGCTGGTGGGAGAGCTGCTGCAGTCTGGTCAGAAGTGGTGATTGCAGTCCAGTCGAGGGTGGTGGTCTCAGTCTGGTTGAACGCGGTGGTCTGCAGTATTCCTCTGGATCCCACGAGAGGTGGTAAGGTTCTGAAACTCCCAGTTATATACTCTCCAGTTCAGGCGGGAGTGCTCAGTCCCTCCCTCAGAGTAGGGAATTCCATAAAAGGGCATGCGGATGCTCAGTCCCTCCTCCATAAAAGGGTATCAGAGCGGGGAATTCCATAGAAGGGTACAGGAACATCTTCCCACCTTGCAGGCCTCTACTGACAACAGTTTTTGGGAAATGGCATGGAGGCTATAGAATACACAGTTTTGGGTTACACCCATCCAGTGATGAATTGGTCCCAGCCGTTCTAACCAGGACACACAGAATCTCAAAGGCAGCTTCCAGTCAGTACCTGTGGTTACGCGACCTGCGTGGCCCTGCCCTTATAAAACAGTGCAGCAAGATATTCCCATGCAAACATTGTTTCTCTTTGACTGTAGACATGATAAATAGAGCTGTTTCCTTATACAAAAATCTTACAATACCTTAAAAGACCGAAAGAGGAGAATCTGCTATGGACCATATCTGCAAGATATGCTGTATGTGGGGTGGAGTCCTGTCACATGCTTCATTGCTCAGGGTTCTC